CTCCTGTAGGTGACCAGCGATGGACCCAAATTGCTCACATTGCCATAAGTTACAAATGGCGTGGTTTCATCCTGGATTGCCCCTCGTACTGGAGTACCTGTGTCGACTCTGATCATGCTTTGGTACGTTGTCGTTTCTCCATGAACTTTATCGGGAGGCTCACAAAGCGTCTCCTACGACTGGCAACTGAGAAATTGTCTCAGCCCTCGGTCAGGCAAACCAATCAAGACGCACTGCATGCTGAACTTTCGCTGTTTTGTCCTAATGACACTGAGCTTCTGTGGAATAGAATCTCGGCCGCCATGCACAACGCAGGAGCATCTGCTTGTAGCACTATCAATCGTCACCGCACCAATCACTGGATATCCGAGAGGTCGGTGAGCCTGTTAGAATCTAGAAGACACCTCCCGGCTGGTTCTGAACACAATGTGACCAGACGGGCTATTAGGCGTGAACTAAAGCAAAGCTTGCGTGCTGACAAGGAAGCGTGGTGGACCACTCGGGCTCATGAAATGGAGGACGCAGGGGCAGTAGGCAATTGCCGCAAGCTCTTCCAGCTGATCCGCACCTGGTCCCAGAAAACCAGGCATCAGCGAGACAATCAGAGACAGCGCGGGTGCGCTGATACACAATAAGGAGCGCCGTATGGCTCGTTGGGCGGAACACTTTCAAGATCAGTTCAGCTGGCCCCCTGCTCCCGGACCTCTTCCTACTCAGGTGATGCAGAACGAGCCATGGGCGGTTAGTTTAGAACCTCCGTCCGAGGCCGAGGTCCGAAACGCGAGTACAGCCCTCAATCATTTTCGTGCCTCTGGCCCGGATTCCCTCTCACCTGCACTATTTAAGGATGGAGGTGAGGTCCTCTGCAAAGCACTGACCTCCTTATTCGAATGTGTCTGGAAAGAAGATAGCATCCCAGCTAATTGGAGCGAATCGATTATAGTGGCAATATACAAGAAGGGCAGTCGCACAGACTGTTCTAACCACAGGGGTATTAGCCTAACGCCACTTGTGACAAAATTATTGGCCTAGATAATCGTTCGTCGCCTCACTGCGGAACGGGAATCTTGGATTAGGGAAGAGCAGGCTGGTTTCCGCCCAGGACGTGGCTGTATAGACCATATATTCACTTTGCGGCAGGTGCTAGAGCAGCGCCACGCATACCGCAGACCGACAATAGCTGTGTTCCTCGATTTCAAGAGTGCGTTCAATTCAGTCGATCGATCGATTCCGTTCGAAATACTTGCGCGGAAAGGTGTTTCCATGAAATATGTGAACATAATACGTGCACTATACTCGAACACTACAAGCCGCGTCAGTGTCTACGGTGGCCTATCGGATAACTTTCCGACCACACGTGGAGTTTGTCATGGCTGTCCGATTTACTTATTTCTGTTCAATTTCGTCGTGCATTCTATCATGGAGTGTTCCCTTGCGGAATCTCATGATGTAGACGTGGAAGTGCTTCCTGGTGAAAGGTTAGTTGATCTAGATTATGCGGATGATATCGTTTTGCTTTTCGACGATGTTGTGACGGCACAATCAACCCTGAATAGCCTATCTAAAGTGGTCCCATTATTTAGTATGCACTTCACCCCTTCAAAGTAAGTGTTGCTGCAGGACCACCAACCACTTCATGACCCCTTGACGCTTGCTAACGAGGAATTCGAGGTGGTTGCTCATTTCTCTTATCTTGACAGTTGCATCAGCAATGATAGACGCATAGAAACTGACGTCAGCTCACGCGTTGCAAAGGCCAAGGCTGCCTACGTGAACCTGCGACATCTTTGGCGACAGAAGGGAATTTCCCTTCGTCTGAAAGACCGTGTATACAAGGAGAGAGTGAGAGCTGTTCTGCTCTATGGTAGTGAGACTTGGCCCCTTCGGTCTGAAGATCTGAGACGCCTTCAAGTCTTTCATCATTTTTGTCTACGAAGTATTGCTGGTGTCGGATAGCATCAGCGTGTCCGCAACGCTGATGTGTGTAGGCGAGTACTAGGTGGTGATAATCATGCTGTCTCCCTAGAACAACAGATAGCACTGAATAAGTTGCGGTGGCTCGGGCACGTGCTACGTATGCCTGGTCACCGCTTACCTAGGAGGGACTTGTTTAGTCAGCCAGTTGTAGAGTGGAGCAAGGCTCGGGGTGGACAGAAGTTAACTTGGCAGCGGGAAATGAAGTCAACGACGACCAAACTGGGTGCCGTTGGTCCGTCTCGCCTTCCGGGTTGGAGTCCATGTGACTCGCCTTGTGCTTGGCTCGAGACTTTACAGGACATGACTCGCAGTAGACACCAGTGGCGCGTTTGCTGCAGTCTCCTAGTTGGCTTGACTGTTTAAAGTGTGTTTGCTGCTGAGTTATCTGCGGGGTAATGGTTGATTATGACGCGTGGCAGTGAAAGCTGCAAGGAAGCTGTCTCGCCGATGCCGCCTTATCTCTGCACGATAGCCAGATGTTTGTGACGGTATGTTGTCTACACTAAGTGTAGGCGCCTTGACCGTGGATGTTTGCTTAGGTCATTAAGGTAAGTCCTCCTTCTCCCCTTCTTATTATTCTTTATTTCATAGGTCATCATGGTTGTATGGCAGCGAAGCATCAGTTCAAATGGCTGATGTACTGCTGTTGATGATTATGATGATGAGACTACTACATGTCATCATCTGTCAGGAGCCTACACCGATTCCTCGCATGATCGAATAATATGCCAGATACATACCCAACTGTGTGGACGTCCATTACATCGAGGATCCTAACAACACTGCTGCTGATGCATTATCGCGTCCTCATCTGAATCAACTGTCACCGACACCCATAGACCTGGAGCGAATATCTGCCGCACAAGCCAATGATCCTGAGCTTATCCTACTCAGATCAAACGACTCATTAAAATAATTGCATTTACCAAGCTTACGGATCATAAGCCCCTTACTTTCACTTTTTCGTGGTTTCTCTGATCGCATCTCACCTAGGGAAATTCGTCAGTG